TGCACAATTGGTGGCTGACTAAATACTTTTTTGCCCCACTGTAAGTAGTCAAATTTGGGTATTTGCTTAGCATACATTCAAAATACTTTAGGCTGCAATCTTACCCAGTATTCAACTATATTACTTCTGAGTGGGTAAACATAGCACTAGAAAGCAGAGATCCTGAACTCTCTGTTGTTCTATGTTCTTGCCTCTGACTTCTGGTTCTCAGCCTATACACTCTAAGTGCCCAGCCCATCTTTCTCCTTCCTACCATTTGCATAATGCATTTATTTTTTAAATGGAATAAAACTGTGAAATGAAAACATCTTGTAAAATGTCCATTAATGTTACACAAATAGCTACTTCAGTGATAAGTTTTGAGTTTCACTGATTTAGAGGAAATGCATGGAATAAGACAGTGATGCTTATTCCCACACCTGTCCATTAAAACCAGAGGAACTCTTACTATGGATTTTTCATGACCTGGTTGCATTGTTGTATCTCCTCCATTAGGCACAAGCTCCAGTTGTTGCTAAACATCTAATCTTGCCTCCAAAAGCACCAGACAGTGATGAGGAAGAATTACCCTGGTGCTGTATCTGCAATGAAGATGCCACTGTGCGCTGCCATAGCTGTGATGATGACCTCTATTGCCAGCAATGCTTCAGGTAACAGCCAAAGCATCATTGGGTAAAACTCAACTTCCCTTGTTATTTCTTTAGGAAACAGAAAGACTGAAACAAAGCTCTTTGAACTGAAGACACCATTAATGAATCAACATAGTTGGCAGAATATGTAGCATTAAAGCATGAAAAATTATCTGTAGTGGTAGCAGCTTCCTATACCCCTAAAATGATTCTCCCAAGGGATGGGGAATCTCCCAGATTAGCACTGTGAGGAAAAGAAGGGGTGCAGTTGAAAAGGGAAGTTGCTGGAAAATACTTTCACCATGTCTGTCTCATATGTCTAAACTTGTTTACTTTGCTTACAATTCCTGAATATCCTGATTGGCATAGCCAACTTTTGATCAACATTGGCTAAACTTCCTGTTTTGGCTTTTAGGGAAAGCCATGATGAGTATGATTGGAAGGAGCACAGAACATCTGGCTATCGTCCTCCCTGCTGGCAAAAATGAGCCCAAAGAGCATGAGGGGAAGGGTCCAAAAAAGACAGTGGCCAGAAACTGGGCTACGAAGAGCAACTCTGGACTATTAAGGAAGGGCAAAGCTATGCTTGGCAAGAACAAGGCAGCTGCAATGAAGTTAAATGAGACACTGAAGCTGGTTTGTCTTGTGAATAAGCCATGGAGAATAATATGGTTAAATAGGAAGGTTATTGTGCATCAGAGGACTATGATTAGTGGAGAAATACAGTGTGAATATTTGCAAAGGTAATAAATGATATGAAGAAAATAATGCAATGAACTTGGGCTCTGTTTCTCTGCTACAAAAAAAAATCAGCCTCATATTTCTGATTTTTAGCAACTTATCAACAGATTCTAAAGCACTTTAAAAATTATGTACTGTTGTTCATTCCTCAGAAAAGCTCATTGGTGTAGGCAGCCCATTGACATTGCTGGGGGTGCCTGTCTGGGCGCTATCTTCATCCGCACCATTCACATTCCAGGAGGCTGCCTACTGTCTGTCCTTGCCAATGAATGTGAAGTGTTCTGGGATTTACTGGGTATGGAAAGTCCTTGCAGGGATCAAGCCAAATGGTCAGTGAGGCTGCCCTTCCAGGTTGATATCTGTAGAGGCACTTCTGTTTCTTTATGCTGATATCATAATCCAACTATGCACATTCCACTAGTTCCTCTTTCAGTTATACCAATCATCTGCCGAAATGCGTATGGGGGCAGGGCAATTGTTTGAAATGTGGGTGCTTAAGAAACCATGAGATTGAGGCTTCTCAGGTACTTCATCCCTGAGACACTATTTTTTCATTTCAGGTGTATGTCATTCCTCTTTTCAATATCAGATTTCACTAGAACTGTTCCTCCTGGAGCACCTGGTGGAGAGAATTACGTCCACTTGCCTTTCTCCTCCAGGCTTCAGGTATCAGGAGGAATGGGCAACTAGCTATTAATTTACCCCATTGCTGTCATCACCGATGTTCAAGGTTGGCCAGTGCACAACATATTGGATAGATTCATCCTTCCCGGGGGGGAGGGGGCAGGATGGCTCTTGATGTCCTTCCAAATTCTCTTTTCAATCAGCCATAAACCCTCACTCTGCTGTCCTTCTTTGCCTCATCTTCTCATCTCTTCTGTATGAGAGGTCTCTCTGTGGGTATATGTTTATAGAACTGAATAGGGTATATTTTTTGTTCGTGATTTGTTTCTTGTTTTAAACTTGGGAATCAATGGAGATTATCTCTATAAGTGTGTGTCTTTCAATATATGTTAAACAAGTAAATTAACAGTCATATTCTTTTTCATATTATTTAAATTTCATTCTGTTTCACCTATTTTTAAAATCTCTTTACCCCTTCCTCCTCTTATGGTAAGGCCTTTGATATGTTCCTCAAAGGCTTGGGCAGCCCTTGACCCAATAAAAGTTACATACTCCTGCCCTAGATATTTGGGCATTTAAAATGGATAATTCAGATGGCAGCCACATGAAATAGTAAACGTTACTCATCAATTAACATTTTCCCTCTTTCATTGTTTTGCTTTTCTTCAAGTTAACTTAGTCTCAAATATATGACCCAATGTGGCCAAATTATTCTACATATCTGAACAGAGGGCAATAAAATGGCTTTTCTTCCCAAATTGACAGCTCTGCATAAACTGAATTTCTTACCTGTGTTAAGAAGTTAAGATTGTGTTAAAGCAATTTAGGGCTACAGAAAACCTGGCATCAATTTATGTCTATTAACAGCTAATTTGCAGTCATAATAACTTTCTCACTGAAACTTGTCCTTTGCATGTAATTGTGTCTTAGGTGAATTAAAGGACAATCTTCTATGGGAAGTCGAGAATTTGGCAAGAATTTCAATGCAATCAGGTATGAGCAGACAAAGAGGTCCATTCAAATCGTCTCAGGTTTTATGGTAATTACAGGGTAAACAGATCCAGTAATATCTGCACAATTTCCAATGTTGTAGCAATGTGCATATCACCAGATTTGGATACCTTCCAAAGGTAAAATAAATAGAATATTTTAGCAGGCAGACTTTAGTACAAAAATGGCAAAGATTCAATTGATGATTCTGACTGCATTGGGAAATAATGGAAACTTTTCATAATGCTTGTGGAAACTATTTTGAAAGTTAATCATTTACTTAAATATTTAAACATATTACAACACCAAAAAAATACATCACAAAGATTAAATCAATGAGCAAATCATTGAAATCCCCCCAGAAACCAACATCAGGGGCATAAACAATAATTACACTGAGTTTTGGAAAGAGCACTCAGCTATGGGATGATATAAAAATAAAACAATGCTTCTTAGCCAAAGTGGGCAGGGATGCATCATCATCTTCCTCATAAAATGATTATTTCAAATCCCTTGAAACTACAGAGATTGTACTTAGTGGTTCTCTGGCATTAGTGAAACCAAGTAAGATAGCACATTTCTTGGGACAATACCAGCTTTTTCCAACCAGTGATTTCTAGCCTACAATTATCTTCCCCAGATAGCATATGTCTGCTCTAGGAGCTACTTGGTAGGTTGTGCTGGTATTGGAGGAAGGTTAACCTAGAGAATAAGGGTGTAAATGTCACAGATAAAGTATGTCGGATTTGGACCAGAAAAAAAAATGCACCTAGGTTGGCAAGGCTAATTCCCAACTCACTTAGCTGAGAAGAAATTTGACTGAATTTAGCAGGGATGACTTCTTAATAAGTATGCTCTGTAAATGGCTCTGAAGCTTCATTATAACTGGGTTGCTATAGTGTGCTAAAACATAATGCAACATGGTTTACTTTTGGCTTAGTGCATTGTGTGAAGCCTTTCAGTTGCATTTTATTTGGCACACCATTAATAAGCTATAACTAAGTTCACTGTGTGAATGCAGCCAGTTTGTATTATCCTTTTTTTTCATATGGTTAGGAAACGAGGGCAAGCACCCCTTCTGGCTTGCAGATGACATCCAGCACTGAGGTGCAGGACCAATTTCTCCTGAAATTGTGTACTGGCCTTCCATAATACATCATGTTCATGTTTGTGGAAGAATTTGTTTGTAGAGTGGGAAGAGGGTCCTCCAGCTGCATAACTCTAGGAACTAATTAAGCATTTTAAAGGCTTACTCTGAGGAGAATCACAGTGTAATCCTGACTGATTTTCATATAAGCTATTAGTAATATTAACAATATGCCTCAAATCCTGCAACATGAATCTTGCAATAGCAGGTCCCTATATTGTCAGTGCAGATTAAAGTCTCCCTCAAGTCAAGCTCAACGTCTTGTGATTGCACATTCATGGTATTTTCTTAGCAACAATGTAGGAATGGTGTGTCATTGCCTTTTCCCAGGTTGCTTTTTGACTTGTCAGTGTAGCCTACAGACCTGGGATTTTCTGGTGATCTCCCATGCAAGTACTAACCAAATCTAGCTCTGCTTAGTTTTTCAAGGTTGGACAAACTCAGTTAGTTGCTATGACAGCTTAGATCAATGTTTTTCAAACTTGGTAATATGTGGACGTCAACTCCCAGAATTCCCCAGCCAATGCCAATTCTGGGAGTTCATCCAGATATCTTAAAGTCGCCAAGTATGAAAAATGCTGGCTTTGATTAAGTTAGTAGAGATAGTGGGCTTCAGACAGTATCATTTTTGCAGACAGACTGAAGTTGTTAATTGTGGACTGCATCATCAAAGGTTGACAATTCCTGAGTTTTTATGCCTTCCTTCTAAAGAGTGACAAAAGATCTGATATCATACTGATTCTTGAATTGTTCCATAACAGCTTTTCTTGTTGTTTTGACATCATAGGTCCTGCCCTTGCTTTGATGTTTTTGCTATTGTTCATGTCAGTCTGTCTGTGAGGCCCTATTTTGAGAATATAGATGCTAATGATATAGAAAACGGTCAGGATTAATAGAGATTTTGCTTCTTTCAGACTCAGAATTCAGTTATGAGTTTGGTTTATAATGCGTAGCCAGAAAAATGCAGATGTGTGGAAGAAATACATGCTCAAGAGGGAAACATTTCCAGGGTCATCTTCAGCTGTAATGTCTCCTTCAACCTCTTTTTGACCCTTGGTGTTGCTTGCCTGCAGTATGTTTTACAGCCTTGAAGAACTGGTCAAACAAGTATGATAGAAATTGTGTGGTAGAAAACAATTTAAGAAATTGACTAGCACTTGTGCACTTATAGCCAGCTTGTGAATAGCAATGCATGTTCCATAATGGATTTCAACAGTAAATATGTTTTCATTTTTTTCAGCAGTAACCAAATGGTCACTTCCTATAGTTATATACATACGCCAATGTACATTTTCCAAATGGCTGGCTACAACATTAAAAAAATAATAATTAAAAGATAACAAAGACAGTAAAATATAAGCTCAAAATATCAGGTTTTCAGCTTTGAAAAAATAAGACTAGTCTGACACAGAGCAGGAAGAACAAATTGTTTGAAAGGTTGTATGGAAATGAAAAAGAAATTATCCTTACTTGAAGCTACTGTATAAAGTAGATACAGTACCAAGAAAGCTGACCTTGCAAATATCTTGAAGTCACAACTCAGGTGCTGCCACAAGACAGTGCTCTTCCTAAAATTTCCCTGTCTTCCTAAATTGGCAGGAACATCTGGAGCAGAGTCTCTTGAGTAATTTGGTGGCTGTCTGACAGAGAACAGGCTCATAACAGAATGCAAGATGCCATAGTCTAGTGAAGAGAGAATGACGTTTAAGTTTCAGACCTTGTATGCATTTATTTTTAAATATGTCCCTACACTCAGCTTTAAAACCAAGTTTCCCAAGGGGGCTTACAATACATTAAAACCACCACAATTTCCATAATAATTAAAATGCAAAAGTAAACAGCCAGAGTAATGAAAATGTACAATAAAATAAGCAAAAATAGCAGTCCTTTAAAAGTTTTGGTGTAGCATATATCCCTCTGGAGCAAGATAATGTATGCCAGTGTGGCTCTTTGTGGCAATTGGGGTTAATGCTGGGACTCTCCAGGGCCAAAGCAGATTTTTTTTTTTAAGTGCTTTGGATGGAAACCTCCAAAATGGTCGGGGAGTTTCTGTTTGATTCTGTGGACTGGGGATTAATAAAAGCTGTCCACTCCACCAAAGTATCTATCTACCACAGAAGTTTTTCTCTAGCTTGCTTTAATGTTCTGTCCCCAATGGTATTAAAGTATGTCCATGTAAAGTTCATTGCATCAAATTCTGTTTGCTGTGTGCTGATCTTATACCTCCCCTGGAATGTAATCCACCTGATAGATCAGAGGAAGACTGTATTATTAGCCTTTTGTTTGATATCAGCACCTTTGAGATCACCAGGAGAATCAAAAGATTTCTATCATGATTGCACAGCCAGAACTATTCAAGCAAGTTGAGCCTGTATGTTATTGTTTACTAATGTTGGGTTATCTTCCTCTTGTTTTAACCTTTTTTCTTTTTCAGTTTGACTTTTCTGTATACTGTAATTTGATCTTTCATCAGGGTAAAGCTAGAACGAAGCATATGCATGCTTAATCACTGTATTAAAATACCTAAGACAATAAAAATATTTTTTCCTGGTCCCCAAAAGACTATAACATCAGTACCAAGCATATCTCACTGGGAGAATGAGCTGGAAAGCTGTGATGAAGAGGTCTATTCCCAAGTAGGCAGTCTTTTTTGCATTTGTATCACCTATCACTTTGATACACCGGAAAGCAGTAGTCCAGGAGAGAGAGAGAGAGAGAGAGAGAGAGAAAATCAATCTCATCTTGTTTGGATAGGATTTTGCTCTTGCTGTACTGAGCCAGGAGGTAATGACAGCTGGAGAGACCGTCAGAAATGTGGATCATTCTTGGATTAATGGTAAACAATTCAATGAAGGTGTCAAAACAGTGTGCATCCACTGTAAAAAAGGCCAACTGTACGTTAGGGATAATAAGAAATAGTATTTGAAAATAGAGATGCTAATGTTATAATCCCCTTTTATAAATCAATGGTGTAATTGCAACTGGAATATAGTGTGAAGTTCGGGTTGCTGCACCTCAAAAAGGATATAGTGGAGCTAGAGAAGGTTCAGAGGAGAGCAACTAAGATGATCAAAGGACTGGAGCAGCTTCCCTATGAGGAAAGGTTTGTGATACTTGGGCCTTTATAGTCCAGAAAGCAGGCAAATGAGAGAGGACGTGATCTATAATGAGTAAAATTATGCATGGTGTGGATAAATGAGAAGCTATTTTCCCCTTCCCAAAATACTAGAACCAGAGGTCACCCAAGAAAATTGAATTCTTATCAGGACAGACAAAAATAAATTATTTTTAAACACAACATGTAATTCAACTTTGGAATTCATTCCCACAAGAGGAGGTGCTGGCTACCTCAAAAAGGTTGGCCTCAAAAAAGGGTTGGACTGATTCATGGAAGTCATGGAGGTCAATCCTATTAGCCTGGATTGCAGTGCGGCTGCCTCTGATGGCCACCTGCTGGGAGGGTAATTGGCTTTCTTGTGCAGTTTGTTGGCCACTGTGAGGACAGACTGCTGGGCTAGAATGGGCCAGGGATCCGATCCAGCAGTGCGCTGCTTATATTCTTATAAGTAGGTACATAGGTCCTTCTGCTCTTGTCAACCATGTCACAAAAAATATGGAATCATCATCCCTGTTGAAATGGTCAGTGCTTATGCTGGTTTGGGGACAGCAAAAGTTAATGATAATTTATTGAAGATAATCATTAATCTGGAGGTGACATCTGAATTATTTAATTTTTGAATAATCTCTGGTAGAAAGGATTAAATTTGTGATTATGCAAAATTATTCAAGTGAAATACCAGAGATCAAATTTTAAGGGCTGAATCGTCAGATGCCTCCTTAGTGGGGATTAAAAGAGCAATTGTTGGAAGACCCAGAACTAAAGTGAGGTGAAACACTGTTTTTTGGATGAAGTCATTCCTATTACTCAAAAGAAATGACCTGCTCCCTATGATGGGAAAAAGGGACCGGAAGCCTCACCCTATAATTACATGAAGAAACATGCATAGCTAAAGGAAATCCACAATTCCACAGCTTGCCTGGGTCACCCTTTGTTTTGCATTTTTAGCTGTTAGGAATTGCTACAGCATAGTGCTTTTGAATTCTAAACTCCAGCTTCTCTATGGTATCAAATGCAAATACATGAGAATATTTCTCTAGAGCTGTTGAAAACTGATCTCTGTATTTCTGTTTTTAGCAATCAATTACCAACCTTCTTGAAATATTCTAACATGGAGATCTGTATTTTAAATAGTATGGCATCACTGTCACCATTACACAGACATTGTATTTTCACAATACGTCAGGCCATTTCCTACATTGTACCTGTCTGACTACATACGTCCCTGAGATTTTGGTACCAGGAAAGCTGTGAATCATTTGCGGAAGGAAAAACACATTGAAAGACCAATGAATCTGAGATGACAGTGGTGAAAATTTCACCTCACTTGAATGAGACAAGAAATGTATAAAACAAGACTACAGCCATAAATAAATATATAATCAAATCTACCTAACTTCAATTTGAGATGCAGTAAAGTGTATTCTGGGCACTTTACTGCCTGCTACAGTGAAGGTCATCAGGGGATTTTAAATCTGCCATAACAAGGTTGTGTTTGTGTAACATACAAAGCCACAAAATGTTATGTGAGCCCAACCCACATGGTTAATTCATGCTTTACTGTGCTGTGTGAAGCCAGAAAATTAAGTTAATGGATAAGCAAGCCATGCAAACAGAGCTTATATAACATTGGCTGAATTCATACATTCAGTAAACCATAATGTGGCTTGTTTGGCTTACTATGCAAACCCAGTTGCCCAGTTATAAACCACGATTTATAACTAAGCATAATATGTGAATTTAGTTTTAACCTATCCTTCAAAGGGTTGACAAAAGACAATGGCTGTCCTTTGTTTTCAGACTGCCAGTAATCTTAGCGAGACAGTGGAATCTCTGAGCGAATGCCTAGGTAAGTCAGTCCAGTAAGGAGTCAGATGACAGGCAACACATTAAGTCTAGCTTTCATTGGGATTAGCAAATCATCTGCAGCTTGAAAATGCTACTCTTGTTTCAGTCCTGGAATCTTCCATGAGAACTTCAGCCAGGAGTGCCTTTATCAGGTGTACTCTCATGATCACAATCTAATTGTGCTTCCACCACTGTCCATGTTTTGAGTCTTTAGATTGGACTGTAATAGCGTGTTTAACAAGTGAGTTCCTTTGCCATCAGTCTGAAATTTAAACTGGGTCAAAATTGTTATGATTTACATAGAAATAAAGTATCTTTTCTCATAGTGGGGAAGACTCTGACCAGGCAAACTGCTTTCCAACTATGAACTTCTGACAGGCAATTTCTAGTCCCCGTCTCTCTTCATCATTAACCTTTATGCTTTCCAATATATATTTTTATTTCTTTATGTTAAAACATATAACCCTTCTTTTGTCAGTGAAATTGAACCAGTAGAGGACTGCCCACCGTGAAGTAGAACACAAGGCTTCTCTAACCTAGATGTCACATAGCAGCTTTATTCATAGGAGGGCGCTGCCCAGCAGGTATAAAGTAGGGCAATAATTTGAAACCCAGAAGTGAGAAGGTGATGAATCCTTCCTCCAATTATGTTCTCAACTCCCTCCTCCTTTTGTTACTTAATAAACTTCAGTCATTTCCTTTGTGAGAAGGTAAGTAGGATAAGTTATTCAAGAAGAGTTAGTGGCATGAATAAAGTGAGTTAAAAAAACTCTATGTATTTTTGTTCAACCTGAGAAGAGCCATCTTGTTGGACATGGTCCACCTACACAGACTCAAAATTTTGGCTCATATATCCCAGAGCCAAAGACTGGGGAAGGCTGTTGTAAAACTTGGGAGCTTCTACTGTTTAGTTTGATTTCACACCAAATCAGATTGGTCTGCCTACCTCAAGAAAGTCTCAACCTTTCCTTTCCCCAGCTCTCTCAGGAAGACATCCTTCCAGTTTTCTTCATGAACTCCTTCATGTAGAGATGTCAAGAAGAACCTAGAACTCTTGACAAGTCAAGCATTGACCAGTCATATATTTGGGCTCTCTCCTTTCACACACTTCTTGTTTTCAGGCTGAAATCTCATTAAAAGAATGAGGGGTGATGATCTGAGATTTGTCAGAAGCTGCCACAACTAGAATTCCATCTCCACTTCTGACATTTCTCTGCTGCAGGAGTACTCAGTTTGTGTAATTGTCTTCATGACTCACTTCTTTGGAGGGCTAACAATTCTCCCAAACCTGTCAGCCAATCAAGCAGTTCTGTAACAAAGTCATGTATTTAAAGAGAAGTTGTAATTCAAAGAAAATCCATAGCTCAGTAATACCTTCATTAGGATCAGCCAAGTTGTCACTCAAGAATTGGCAAGCTTTTGAGCTTTCCAAAATTCATCCGGCAAGATGTTAATTCAAGCAGTTCATTATACATACTAATTTTTTATATATCTATCTCCATCCTTACAATGTGTACCTTCGTAACTAGCTTTTTGCAAAGTCCTTTGAAATAGCTTGGGACTGAGTGAGGAGATACAGTTGTTTGTGCATGCATAGAACTCCTGCTGCCCATTTGTTTGTCAGCTATAAATGCAACATAAATGTTCCAGTAGAAGAGAATATCTGTAGCTCAGAATTGAACTGTGAAGTCCTTGGTACTCTCTGAGCTTGGTTGTTTGCTTGCAAACATTTCATTACCCAACTAGTTAACATCATAAGTGGCACTGATGTTACCGAGTTAGATAATGAAATGTCTGCAAGCAAACAACCAAGCTCAGAGAGCACAAGGAATCCACAACATATATCTTTTGCAAGCAAGACAACCGGGCTGGATAGGTGGGGGAGGAGACTGCAGAGCCATTGGTTTTTAGAGCTGGACTTCGTAAATAAGAGAAGTGGAAATGAGAAAAGTAAAACGAAGGGTAAGTGCTTTGTCCAAATATGAAGAATTATCTCAGTCAAAGTTAAAAACAGAGCCAAGACATTGGGAAGCTGTGGAGAAAGTTGACGAACACAAGGACTCACTGGACCTCACCCAACAGAAGGATTATTCTTTTTGAAGCTTTCAGGGAAGTCTGGACTTCTGAAGGATCCTGATAGCAGATCACTGGGGGAAAAAAATCAACTGGTTTTAGGTCCAGGAAGAAACACAACAGAAAAGTTTTAATTATGGTTTAGGAATGGCTTAGGGACTGTGTCATATATTGTCACACAAATTGGGGGTTAGCTTGCCTGTTTCCATGTGAATATAGTCTCTACATGACTTAATAGATTTCTTGTGCTATCACTTGTTAATATTTTTGGAGCACACAGTTGTTTTCTATGCAAACATATATGCTAGTTGCCTGTTATTATTCATATGTCAATCATTAATCAGCTCTTTGCTGTGTAATAACCTTTGCACATATTTTACAAGGGTTGGCTACATCACCATGGAGATAAATGATGCTGTGTCAAGAATTTTGGTTGCCATGTAAACAACTACAGAAAAACATGTAGTTCTTAAGAGAGGGAGCCTTGTCTACCCCCGGTATAGCCCATAATATAATTAGAAATAGATAGCTGACATGATTGGTTTACCTTCTAAACATAGTAATAACTCCAGGTATTTCTTTTATTTCTAAGAGTTTATAATTTCAGTAGCAAATTAATCAGAATCCAGTCAATTCCCTATATATAGTATTGCACTCACACAGTTCATGTACAGCTCTCCATAAAAAGGAAAAGGAAAACTGATGGGAAAGACAAAGTTGGTGATTGGTGGTAGCAAGAGGTAGAGAAAGAAAACACTGAATTTGTAATCCTATATCAGTCTGGAAATAAGAACCACTAAAATCAAAGCGATGTACAAGATTGCATTGACAACCATTCATCTGCATTCAAAACATAAATACATTTTAAAAATAAAATTGTTGACTTAGTCATTTAATTTCATTGTCAGTCCCCTATGTAGTGCTGTGCAACTTGGAGAAAGTAAATATAATTCCTAGAGCAGATGTGATGCTGTACACTTTGAAATATCTGTAGTAGAAAATTAACTATTCAGCTCTTTCCTTACACATGGAGAATTATGACTAGTGCAATACTGAACAATCATTTGTCAAAACCTACTCACCTCTGTTGGTCTGGAGCACTGATGAAGAATTTCCTGCAAGAGAAAACAATACATGTGAAGTAATGCTACACTTTCCCTTTTCAGATATTTCTATACACAATAAATGTGCAGTGCAGAACAGTGCAGTGTTTCCTATGAAATAAATTCAATATGGTTTGAACCACCACTTACTGTAATTGCCCAGAATTAGCATCTACCCAGCTTACTGCTGTCACATACTGTTCAACACCAGGGGCCTTCTTCACAAAACAGTCTGTGCCCATTTCCTCAACAGTGAGTGCTATTATGCTCAATGTATTAAGATCTACAGCCTCAAGATATAAATCTAAACCCATCATCTTCATTAAATTCAGGAGGATTCATTTCTAAATAGGATAGTATCATTTGATAAGCAATTTCTGGCATCAAATCCATATATGTCTACTTGTAAGCAAGTTCCATAGAATTCAAAGCTCAATTTCTGCTAAGTGTTTATAGAATTGTTATTGAAATAAATTTTTAATTAGTAGATTAGAATATTAAGGGTTTGGTCTAATAATTAACACACAAAACCCCTTCCAAATATGTTAAGGTTGGTTACTCTTGGTTGGTGTACTAATAAAATTCAGTGGTCCTTCCTACTCTTGTGTCTTTCCATTGTGTTGAGACTATGAATCCTAAAATCTGTATCTAGCATATGTAGGAAAACAGAGAATTTTGTGCACTTGGTACAACCTGACACATAGCACATTAGAGATAAGAAACTGCTTAGCACATTTTTTTCTAGTACGCATTTCTGATACATATGCTTATCTTACCACAACTTCACCTTGTAACCAATAATCTGTTTATAATTTGAGTCTCTTTGTTCCTGAAAAGTAGATATAGCTTGTATTTGGCAGTGGGAAGAAGTCTTTCACCATGGGAGCAATGCTAACGTGTCCTTTGTGTGGCTAACCAGACAAATAAATTATTTTGGAGACTGAGTATTGGGTTTGTGATCTTGACTGAACAGACAAATGAACCAGGATGAACCTTGCTGTAAAAACAGCTGAGAAGTGAGAGGGAGCTGTGGTCCTCATGGGTTTTCTCTCCAACACATGGTAAATAGTCTTGCTGATTTGGAATTCTAGGAGCTATAGTCCCAACACTTTTAGATGATGCCAGGATGGTGACAGCTGTGCAGAATGATTGGTAAGCATTCCTCTCTTCATGAGTTTAGGACATTTGTTGATAGACATATGAATAACCTTGCATTTCTTTTACTAACTTGGAAGAAGAAGGAGGAGGAGGAAGAAGGGGAAGACTCCTACCACTACTGATCTTTCAACAGAGCACTTAAATTTTGTTATAGTTGCCTGTTTTCCCATGTTGTCCCACTGTTAACTACATGACAGGAGTGGAATCAAGATACAGTTCATCCACAGGATTGCAAGAAGACAATGGCCAAAGCCAGACCCAAAGTCACTCACAAAATTATGTCATAAATGAAAAGATGGGGTGAAGGGTAAATATTTGTGATGTGGGAATGAGATGTTTTCAGAAACAGAAAGTTGACATGTTGTTAGAGTGTCAACAGATATATTTCTTTTCTTTTTCTTGGCTGTCCCCTTTTTCAGTCTTATACACGTTATAATCTTAATCTGTTCTTTCCCTATATTGGGGTTCTTGCACCTCATTTTAAAGAACTTTAGGAATTGTGTTTTTCAATCAACCAACAGCGCTTAAGGAAAGTATGTTAAAACTGCTGTGATATGTACACTACGTACTTAAATTGTTGTTGCAAATTATCTACTTCTCTATAAGTAGCCAAGATAGGGTATGGATGTAAGGAAAAATACAGCTGAAAGGATCCCTGCCTTGAATACCAGGCAGGAGTATCTCTTCTACAACACCAGTTGCAATGTCCTGCTTAAGTCAGTTGCATCATGAGATGGAAGAAATATAGCAAGTGGTGAGGTGCAGGAAAACTTTCATTGGAAGACAGGAGTTGGGCCGACAATGTGGGTCTTGGCAAGAGGGGCAGCAGCTTTCAGCTGGCTTGGCTACTAATTGGAGTAAAAAGCATTGCATTAGAGAAGTGGTGGGCAACCTATGACCCAAGAGCTATGTACAGCCCTTAACCTAGTTTCAAAATCTTTCAATAAGTGATTGATCTACACCTCTGGCAATATGATCTTTTACTCCCAGGGCTGAGTGAGGAGGAACAGAGGGAAGTTGATGGGAGAGGAAACAAATGGCTCTTCCCACACTTGCCTTCATTTCTTCCCAACATCCAAATAACCTGAAAGGGATCTGACCCTATGTTAGATATCTCCATGTGTTTCAAAACAGCAATAGAATTTAAGGGTATTTCCTTAAAATACTCCCAAGCCAAAACTATACACATCACTCTCTTTCATGTCACTCTACCTGATTTAGAGTAGTGCCAGTCATTTAGCTATGGTGGATCTCACTTTCCATTAAACATTTAGAAGGACAGTGATTTGTTAAAAGCTTGGAAAGGGGAGCAAAGGGAGCAAGTGCCCTGGGCCACACTTCCAAAGTATTCACTATTGTTCAAGATAGTAAAATATAATCCCAAGAGTTATTTCAGTATTTGGGGTTTTCCTACATGTTTTCAATTACATGGCTATTGATTTCAAAGGAAAAAGAGTGGGGGGGGGGCAGGAAATCACATTGACCATGGGGAGAGTGAGAAGATAGGAGGTATATGAAGGGGAGGTCAAATGAACATTCTGCTCCAGCCCCAGGTACCTCTCAGAAAAAATACCCCATTTTCATCTCTTTCAGACAAGTGATTACAATCACACAGAACAGTTCACATTAAATGTTATTAGCACATGAAACAGGTGGCCTGGTGTCGCTGTGCTGACTGGTGTCCAGAAATGCCCCTTGCTTCCACAAATCATTTCAATAGTCAGTCAAAACATCCTGCCTCCTCTGTCCAATCTGCAGGTTAGATTTCTGTGCTTCCCTGGATATTTCAAGAAGATAATTTTCAATCTCTGGCTCTGAGGCAACAATAGATTCTGCAATCTCCTGCAATCATTAGTGTTCAAATGAGAAAAGTTACCTTCTAACCTTCTCCATGCTCCTTAGCTATTGTTTTTAGGGCTCAGTGAGGCATGCTTTGTTTCCATTCCTCTGTTCAAGGTCTACTGCTTCCATCTTGGGTTTCCTACAGCTCTTTCCTTGTGATAGATGCCTATCTGATGTGATCACCAGCTCTTCTGTGCTTTATTTTTTCAGGCAGATGGCAAACATGCAATGTCCTCAGGCAGGAACCTCTTCAATACCCTTGGTTACCATCTATTCCCCTCATCTCTAAACCATTAATTTGTGGTCAATTAACATTCCTCTGCCACATTCCAAGGATCTCAGCAGACTAAGACAAAGCGTCAAGGCAGTAGTAAGCATGTTTACAGTAATAATAATAATAGACTTCCCACAATTGGCTAAACCTCTGTTCTCAAAAGGCAGATACAGAGCCCTGATCCAAAGCAAAACTTCTTACACCCCAAGTGAGTTATTATGATGGACCTGATTTATGACATTCCAAATAGTAGAGCTTGCAGTAGCTAATAAAGGTTCTTTTGTTCCATATGCTGTGAATAACCTTTGTGAATAAATGCATGTTTTCTGAATTTTCTGTCACCTGTTCTTCCACTTACAATATGTATATCCATCATATCCCCAAACGTGTTAAAAAGGATAGCTATGTTAGTCTATCATAGCAAAGAGCCTTGTGTCTTCTTAAATGTTAAGAACATTGTTATCACATATGCTTTTGTGAATCACCGTTCACTTCATCAGAAAGGATGTCTTCGTCTTTTCCAGCAGTTCTCCATCTCATTTTGATTTTCTTCCCAAGGAAAAGAGGGTTTTGGTGAACTTCTCATGGTTCGAGTCTGGCGTTTTTGCACTTAGTACAGCTGCGCAGATCTTTGAGAAGGTGCTTTGCTTGGTCTGAGCGAAGTGCTCTTTTGAAGTTGCTTCACAAAGCAACCTAACTTCATTTCTAAGAAGGAAGTGAAGCATCCACCTTATTTTCCTCCACCTGCTTCATTTACCTCTTCTGCAGCCTGCTCCAACCCTTGCCTTACCCAAAAGCTGCTGAAAGTCTTGGAAGATGCATGTGAGCATGGAAGCAGAAGGGTACAAGTGTTATCACTCCCCCACTGGACAAACTAGGGTATGTCATGAGGTTACCCTCACTACTGTAACTACCTTTAATTAATTAATTAATTAGATTTCCATCCTGATTTTTATTCAAGAGCTTAAGGAGGTGTACATAGCACTTCCTCCTAATTTTCCCCACAATAACAAATCGGTAAGGTAGGTTGGGCTGAGACTATCCCAGAATTATCCAGTGAGCTTCTACAGCTGAGGGTAGAGGTGAACCTCCACTTCTCCCCAGTGCCTTAATTACTGCACCATAGTGGCTGGGAAACTCCTGGAAGGTCTTCTGAGTTTGTAATACACACTTATTTTAAAGACATAAAATAAACTCCATGAGCCATACCTGCAAGAACCAGAAATTCCAGGACAGTTGAAATAATGTAATCATACATAGACGCTCTGTTAATATTTCTCTAGATCTCAGAACAAAAGGGGAAAACGAGTTAAGGCTTTGAGTTACTAGAACATAGATTTAAACTGAAGATTAGAAAACAGTTTCTGGTTGTAAGAGCAGTGCCACAGGCTAATAAGCTACTTAAGAAGTGGTAAACTCCTGGCTGGAAATTTCCAAGGCACAGGAAGACAGGTATCTTCCAGGAATGCTTTAGATATAGGAGGCCTTTGCCTTAGGGCAAAAGGCTGCTTCCTGGACTAATCACAAACACTAAACCTCCTGAATGGGAGTGAGACAAGTGAAGTGCATTAATGAGCACATTCTCTTCCCCTGTTTTCCCCAGATTGCAGCCTTTGGATGTTTTGTACTACCGCTGCTGCAACGTGCTGGGAATTCTGACCAACACATTTGGAAACAGGCTGTGGAAAGCTGCCTTGCCACCAAAAGAGATACTGTTCATTCCCCAAAGGCATTTGTGAGCATAACATTGATCAGCTCCTTTGGATCTTGCATGAAGCCCTGATTTAGAAAGGAGAATTGGAGATGCAATCTATAGTATCAGCAACTCTGGGGGGAAAACTTCTTCAGTTTTCCTGTAAATGACAGTAACAAAAACCAAGCGGGAGGGAGAGTGATTGTAATAACCTACGTTGTTAGAAGAGGCTGAGTGCATCATAGAACTGGTGGACAAAGTACACGAATGTTTCTTGAAATCTCTTGCCTGAGAAAAATGGACTAAGCAGGACTTCTGGGGAAGAAATGGTGAAGACAGCTCTGCAGAAAGTGGAGCCAATGACTACAGCAGCATGAAGAGCTGGCGAGTAGACCAGCTCTTTGTAATTCCTCTCCAAACAAGGGGAGGACTTGAGATCATCCACAAGTGCTCCAGACAGTTGCTCCTCATGAGGAGACTGCAAGGCAGTGGTCTCTGGTGGGCTTCAAGCTCTGGGAGATGAGGGAATAGCTACTTTGCTCAACCCACATGAATAAAACAAAAACACATAAAGAATTTTGTTGATACAGTAATAGTACAATCCTAAGTATGTTTAGTCATAAGTAAGTCTCCCGGGGACAAATAGGCTTTATTTTCCAGCAAATGTGCATAGGATCAGAACTGAATATATTAATGAAATAAGAACCCTGAAGAAGTATTTGTTGTATATTCCTACAACCCAAGAATCTCTGGCACACAGATTCCATGGACATCTGCCATGTTCTGAATAATCCTTGAGGATTTCCTTTGTTCCACATTTTAAATGAGCCAACTTAATCTCACCTCCTAGATTGATACCCAAATTGAAATAGAGTTATCTTTCTATTTTCATTTTTTTCTGTATATTGTGATAACATTCTCAGCTCAAAAATTAAACTAAAATGGAAATGAAATTTGGTTTCAGTGAATGTAACATATGAAAATAAGGTGGATATTAATATTCATTGTTTGAGGAAAAACATTAAGAAGTAAATGTTTATTTACTTTTAAGTTAGATGGTTATAGAAACAAGATGTATATGGATATGGATATACATATATGCAAAAGTAGAGGGCTCCTGAAACAGGCAGATCCATCCATCCTTAGTCCTGACTCACTCTTTGGGAATTACTAAAATTAAGATGACTGGATATACGGGGTTATGGCTGTTATAACACCTTCGGGAGAGCTTTCAAGATGTCTTCTTATTAGAAAACAAATCTTAAGGGCGCACCACAGAAACGCATTGCAAAATTCCATGGTAAAATACTTCCTTGTGGACTCAGATGGCTGTCATCCATTCCTTTGCCTCACTTTATGTTACTGCTTACTGGAGTGTGACTCATTATTGTCCACTGAACTCGAATTCCTCTCCCAGCCCCTTTCCTGTGCCACCTCTGTGTCTTCAGTTATGCCCTCCACACCTCTTCCTTTTGCCCTAGTGATTTGAGAGCTACCACGCACCAAGGTGATTAATCTGGTGGGTGGAGACAGTAGAGTTGCAGGACGAGAAAGCCAATATATTTTTCACCTGTCCTTTAAAAGCAAAGTTGAAGACATATAAAGGTTGGGCAGAGAAGAACCCAACAGGGTGGAATGATCTCTTTTTTTAAAATGAATTGTTATTGAAGAATGTTATACAACAGTAAAAACAATACAAATTTAAGAAAAAGAAAAAAGTATAAAAAGTGGTGAATAGATAAAGAAAAAAAGTATAAAGAAGCAGCTTCCTATCTTCTTTGTAGCAGTTACAAATAGATTTATCATCTGTCTTCCATCTTTAAGGTTACATCATGATTCCCTTCTTCCCATATTTTACCCTTTCTAGTCATCAAGTCCATAAATCAGTAGTTCATTTTTCCCCCCATTTTCAGCAGAGAGTCCATAAAGGGTTTCCAGTTACTAACAAATGCACTTGTTCTCTTTTCCCTAATCAAACAAGTCAATTTTGCCATTTCTGCAAATTCTGTCATCTTCACCAACCATTCCTCTGTTGTAGGTATTTCTGAATCTTTCCATCTTTGTGCATATAATAATTTCACTGCAGTTACTATATATAAAAACAATCTTCCAAAAATGGAATGATATTTAAATTGGAAGGAACCTTCAGAGAGCAGAAGATAGTATGTAAAGTAAGGTATGAATGTACTCTGTGAAAACTTATTAGTCAGAGTGTGGCTTTCAGATCAGCTGGTGTGATGCACATCTGTGATAATAAAATAGGATCCACAAAAGTTTTTGTGGATTGGTGCATTCAGTATGTCACATGACTGCTGTTGCACTTGCTACAAAAGATTAAAAGAGGTTCTGAAAACTGACTTTAAACTTTACACTTCCATGATGCTGCTAGATTGTTGCCAGAATCATTTCTGCCATTTGAGAGGTCTGTGTTTTAGCAAATAATCGAAAAGGCACTCTTTGACTTATAAAGTTTTGGGGGGGAGGGGTCAGTGCCTCCTTGGTGTCAATTGTCCCCTGCTGCATTCCATTCCATTGCTGGGGCAATTCTGTCTTCTTTCAATAGAACTGGAATAACAGAAACTGATGTCAAAGCAAATTAAATAAGCAAAAGGATTTCAAAACTGTGTTATGCTTATGCAACTTCTGGAACTGTGAGAAGGTCCAGAGCTGCTGGTGATCACTGGAGGCTATTGGTGTCCTGGGAAACTTGCATTTCTTTTTAGCTGTGGTGGTTGAACATTGAGTGGATACCCTTTTGGAACCCTTTAGCATCCATATCAGGAGAAACAGCCAGCATCCCACAATGCTTTACTTTTTTCTGCAGATCTCATACTTAGGTTCATGTACCTGTGCCTTTCTTCTTTTCTGTATGACTCATTCTTTTCACAATCTAGCCTGGATTTGGACATTATAGTATGCCATAATGAGATTTGTTGGATTTGGCTTAGTTTTACATGCCTTGCTTAATGTTATGAAGAAATTGAATACACTGTGGTTAAAACAAACAATGACTTAGCACAAGGATGGGTAAGTCCTTCACAGTTATGGACCAGATTTTTGTTCATTTGTTTTTGGGATGGCTGAGAAGGGCAAGGCAATGACATGGTAATCTCACTGGAGTAGGAGCATGGGTGGATTTTTTAAACCCTTTTGCTAATTTTGGGAGCTTTCGGTTTTTTAAAAAAATGCTAACAAGAGTGTTGACCCTTTTTGGAGACTTAGCTCATCTATTTTACCTGTTGGTTTTGCCAAAAACTGCTGAAAAATTGGACCCCACTGTTACTTGAGATTTTCTAACATGATGGTAGGAGTCCTTGGGAGCCACAACATAGCAGTAGAAGACCTGCATGTTCAGCACACAATGTAAGAACTCAGCCGAATGCCTAGATGAATTCCTCCTTAGTTGGGATAAAAAAAGAGGCACCCAACTTTTAGGGATTTGCTAGCCATTCAGAAAGCCTCCTGTGGATGCAATCAGCCAATCTCTCTAAGTCTCTGTTACTAGGAATACTATGATAATCACCAGTTTCATCTTATCTTGACCAAACTGACACAGTCTAACAACAGGAATGGAAGACCTGTAGCCTTCCAGATGTTGTTGGACTGCAATTCCAGACATCTCAGGCCAATATGAAGGATGCTGGGAGTTGTAGTTCAGCATCTGGAGAACTACTGATTCCTTACCTTATCTTTCAACAATGTAAAACATATAGCACATTCCACAAAATTCTGTACCTGAAAAGGCATATGTGTGTCATTTATATTAGCATGTTAACTTAAGACCATAAATTAATTGTAACCATTAAAATTAGAAGGGGGAAATATGGGGAGATTTATGAACATAAATATGTGCGGTGACTCTGGCTCATATTCAGTACATTATTTTAATATAACTTGTTGCTTGTATATTATATTGGCATAATAATTCATATTGTATTAGATATTAAATCAGAGCTTATCTGTGTGGACTGATAATTCTGATACTATAATACTGAAAGTAGACATTTCCTCTGAAGAGGAATCTGACACATAAGCCAGTTAGTCAATTTACAGTGACAAGTTCATGTGTGGTCTTACCTTTGAAAACCATCTACTTTTTTTTTTTTTTAAATTCACAATCCATGAACAGAACGGAATGTTTTGCATTCTGGTACAAACATGTCTGGAGAGTTCTAATTCCTGAATTATGAATAACCACTCTTACTGTAAGAAGATGTTTTGGAAAAGACATCAATCTGCCTAGCAATTTCCCATTGTATTAACCTTCCAATTACTCCTATGCTGAATTTTTGGCACACAAGGTTACAGCATTAAAATATTAACTGGTAAAAGAATTAAAGGTAGGGAAACATAGGGCCATGAACTAGGGTGTCCATGGGAGGTAAGGGTGGGGGTGACATAATAGCATGATGTTGCAGCTTGCATGCTTGTGTTAAATTTCATGACACAAGTACTGTACAGAATTACAGCATTTGCACAGTGATGTCATGATATTATTTTGACATCATTCTGTCTTGTTAAGAGATCCAATACCCAAGAATTTAGGTAGTTACATAAGGCCAATCAACATTGTCCATTACAATAATCAAAAGTTAAAGTGGCAGTTGTGGGTGCAAGAAGGTGTGGGTGACATCAATGCACATATAAAAGGAGCAGGTTTTGATTATGCTGTCTGACTGCCAGAACCCTGCTTCCACTAGCATGCTGGCTGGGGAATTCTGGGAGTTAAAGTCCACCCATCTTAAAGTTGCCAAGGTTGAGAAACCCTGGTCTACTATATCAAGTCTTTCATAGAATCATAGAGTTGGAAAGGATGTCAGAGATCAACTTCCTATTCAATGCAGGATCTGCTAAAGCATATGGTTATCCAGATACAGTTTGAAGACCTCTAGTAGAGGAAAACATACTTTTTTATGAGGCAAACTGTTTCCTTGGTTGAAGCCTCTTATTGTCTAGAAATTGCTCCTAATATCAAACCTGAGTCTACTCTCCTATAAGTTCAACCCACTGTTTCTAACCCTACCCTCTAGGGCAACAAGAAACGAGTCCACTTCCTCCTCTGCATGACAACCCTTTAGATATTTGATGACTGACATCCTCAGTCTTCTCTTCTGTAGCCTAAACACACTCAGTTCTTTTAACTGACCCACACAGGACTTCTAAATTTCCTCATACTACATTTGAGGCTTTGGGTTTTTTTCTCCCCAGATACAGGTCTTCATATTCCTCTCTGTTAAATTTCACTCTGTTTGTTTTGGCCCACTGTTCGAGCCTGTCTATATCTTTTTGAATCTTCTCTTTCTCTTCCAAAGTATTAATTCCTTTTCCTAGTTTTCAGTCCTTGCAAATTGGATGATCAATCCCTCA